CTAATTTTTCTCTAAGGCCTCCATTTCTATTTTCATGGCTTGCCTCCATTTCTTACTGGATAATACCTCGAATAATGTAGTTGGATAAAAAATAGTGTTTAGGCTCATAAGAAAAATTTTGTGGGATGGTGAGAATTTTTCAAATGACACAAAATTAGATATTGGGTATAGTGGATGCTTGGTGCATTCTCTGGTTCCTTTTCTAATGGCAATAGGCAAATCATAATCACTAGTTATAGTTTTAGGAGATTCATGCTCATTTTGAGAAATAGAGTCAAAAACTGTAGTTACCTCATTTTCAGAGTTAGGACCAGGTTCTTGGACTGGCACTGGTTCAGGATCTGAAACTTTTTTTCTTGAGTACACCTATAATTCCTTCATAGAATCAAGAACAATATTATCCTTTGTCACATCTTTCGTATTTGGAATGGGTTCAGACTCAAATTCAATGTTTGACTTGGGCTCAGCAGAAACAGGTTTCGACTCAGAAGAATTAATGAGTATAAATGTTGAAGAAGGAGGAAAATCAAGCAAAAAAAAGTCTTTATACTTATCTTCCATGAATGAAGTCTCTCCCTGAAGATAAAGTTAAGTAAAAAATGATTTATTTTCTTCGAAAGTGACATCTACAGACACATATAATTTTTTGGTAAGAGGATGATAACACTTATATCCTTTTTGAGTTGAAGAATACCCCACAAAAATATACTTAATCGCTTTTGGATCCAACTTTCCCCTGTTATGACTATGAACATGAACAAATGATGTACAACCAAATATCCTAGGTGTGAGATTGTTTGTGGTATTGAGGTTGGGATAAAATTATGAGAGTAGTTCTATAGGAGTTTTAAAACTTAAAACTCTTGAAGGTAACCTATTTATAATGTGTGTGGCAGTGAGAACAACTTTTCCCCCAATAAGATTTAGGTACATTTGCTTGAAAAAAAAAAGGCTTGGGTTGTGGCTAGTAAATGGCTGTTTTTCCTTTCTGTCACTCCATTCTGCTGTGGAGTATTAACACAAGATGACTCATGGATAATCATTTTTTTTAAAAAATAGGTGGATAGACTCTAGTTGAAGTAGTCTCTTGCATTATCAGACCTAAATCTCTTGATTCTCACTCCAAATTGATTTTGAATCATGTTTTGGAAGCTTAAAAACATACTATTTACATCTGATTTGGATTTAAGTAAAAAAACCTAGGAGACCCTAATACAATCATTTATGAATGAAACAAACCATCTCGCACCAGAAATATTAGAAATTGTAGAGGGACCCCAAATGTCACTATGAATCAAGTAAAAGGGAGTAGAACTTCTTTTGTTACTGATTGGAAAAGACACACGTCTATGTTTTACAAATTCCCAAATATGACAATGAAAATCTTCAACATTTAATCCTTTAAACAAAGAAGGAAACATGTTTCTCAAGGTTCCAAAAGAAGGATGTCCAAGACGAAAATGATAAAGCTAGATTTTGTCTTTATTGAAAGATTTTTCAGAAAGAAATGACAAAGGTAAACTATTTTTGATACTACTTGTGTTATTTGATGTCTCAAGATAGTATAGTCCATCCTTCTCCTTAGCAAGTCCAATCATCTTCCCCGAACTCTAGTCCTGAAATTCACAATAAAAGGGATAAAAAGCTACTTTGTAATTCATATCTCTGGTAAGTTTTTGTATAGATATAAGATTAGTAGACAATCCAGAAACATGAAGAACATTTTTTAGAACAAACGAGGGATTAACTTGAACATCTCTTAGTCCTACCACTGTGGTAAGTGAACCATCAGCAACAATAATTTTCTTATTACTAGGACACAGGTTATATGTATTAAACTTTTGTGAGGAATGTATCATGTGGTCTATGGCTCCTGAGTCAATGACCCAAGAACTCGTAATAAACTTAGCTGAGACATTTAATCCATGAGAACCGAAAGCTTTACCTGAACTAGAAACTTTACCCAAAGAACATACCATAGTAGGCTTTTCAAAGATTTTCAATAAGTTTCTCAGCTTTTCAATCTCTTCCCTGTTGAACTCTCTTTGTTTTTGAGACATCTGTAGTACTCCAATGATTTTCTCCGTTAACATTTCCTCAAATTGGGAGGTAGTGATATCTTTCTTTAAAAGGGTTCGGCAATGAAGGCCTAAACAGGATTCAACAGTGAAGGCTGAAAATTTTGCTTCCCAAGAAGAGCCTAAAGCTCTGATACCATGTGAAAACTGAATGTATATTGAAAAACTGCTTATTTTTAATTATACAAGAATCTTAGGTTTGTATACAACTAACTAGGGATTAAACTAGGAAACTAAATCTTCCTTAATTCTAGGGATACAAATACTTAATTTTAGAGATACAAATATAAATATACAGATTACAAGATTACAACCAACTGTAAATAAGTGTTTTCCCACAAGAACTTAAGGCGTTTTTTTTATCAAAACGCCACTAAATATTCAAATAGCATCATTTGTACTTATAAAAGCCATCAAAGACAAGTTTCTTAGATAATCATCCATTTGCAATTATTAAGAATTTTTTCTTAAAATTTATTCTTTATTCTGGGTTTTCTATATCTAAATTTTTATTGTATTGAAGTATGTTTAAATATTTCACAATTTGGGTTAAATTCTAAATATTTTTCTTAGAATTTGGACTCTTATTGTTGAATCTTATTCATTATTTATTTTCTAATTTTTAAAATAAAAAATAAAATGACAATTATTGTTTGAAATCTTATCCAAAATTTTTCACTATTTGGGTTAAATTTAGAAAAGATTTTTTACCTAGAAATCCATAAGTTATATATTTTTTATTTTTGGTTTGGAATTGAATGCAATTATCTTTATTGAAATTTCGTTTAAAACATTTCACATTTGGGTTAAATTTAGAAAACTTTCTCACCTATGGATTTTTTAGAAAATTAACTATTTGAAATTTCTAAGAATCTCATTATAGATAATTGTTAACCCATTTGCAAAATTTTATAAAGTTTAGTATATATATATTTGAAAATAAATACTAATTATTGTTATTGAAATTTTATCTAAATTTTTCTCAATTTTGGTCAAATTTAGATAAATTTCTCACCTAAAAATTTCTTAGAAATTATCTATTTGTAATTTCTAAGAATTTTATTTTCTAATAATTATAATTTATTTCCAAAAAAATTTATTAAAGTTTTATTATATAAATTTTTATAATTTAGAAAAACTTCCTCTACCTTTTTCTAAAAATTTAATCATGCAAAAATATTTCAAAAATAGATAAATAAATAAATATCCTAAAAAATACAAAAATAGAGTCGGTTCAGCTTGGCTTACAATGTTGCTATGCTACAAGAACCAGGAGCAACTAGAATGGCTCAGCTTTGGCTCGACTTAAAATAGCTTGGTGTTGAAGTGGATTCAAGTTACAAGTCGAGTTACAATCGGATCGAGTTGGATGAGTGGTAAAATATATTGGTCAACACCAATTAAAAGCCCAAACAACGTCGTTTTCGGATGGTATAAGAGTTCTAAAAATCTCTTGCTTTTCTTAGATTTCAATTTCCCCTATCCCTCTTCCCTTTTGCTTCTCTTTCTAGATAGAGAAAACTGGTGATTGCATTTTGGCGATTTTCATCAAATAATTCTTCCATTATTGAAAATTCAATTGGGATCTAGGTTTGTCATTGGATTCAGAAAAACCATGTCGGAATATAGGATTTTTGGCCAAAATCTCATCAAAAAACTTGAATCTCATTAAAAAATTCAATCACGGAATTCAAGTTCATAAAATTTTCTAGAAATTTTTAGAAAAAATGCTAAAAACACCAATTAGACCTCCTAAATCTTCCAATAGCTGAATCAAACTAAATCAAAACCCATGAACCTTAAATTCCCAAAGAAATTTCTTCAAAACCTCTTTGCCAAAAAAAAACTTTATTGCTCATTTTCTCTTTGATTTTTTGTGTGATTTCTCTTTGATTTTTTTTTTTTTTTTGCTACCTTTCTTGATTGCTTGTGTTTCTTTGTTGATTGATGTATGTGTTCTTTTCTATCAAATTTTAAGTCTATTTATAAGACCAAAACCGGGAGAATTTTGGATTACTTCATATTCAAAAACTAGGAATTATCATGAAAATAAAATAATTTTGGATTACTTCATATTCAAAAACTAGGAATTATCATGAAAATAAAATTTATCTTGAAGGATTTACATTCGATCATGATAAAACCAGTCTTATCATCCCAATAGCGTCGACCCTTTCTACAGCTTTATTTTCGATTGTTAAACCCTTTCCTTTTTTTTTAATATCCAATAAAGATAAGTATAAACAAAATAATAACAAAAAACAAGATAAATATATATCATAAATTCAATAAATGAAAAATAAAATAATAAAAAATAAAAATAAAAATCCAAAATCTATAATTGGACCCGAAAAGACTTGAATTCAACCGATTTGGACCCCAGATTAAAGAGGATGTCTACACTATGATTTATTTCATATATCAATTTATGGATTTGTGATGTATGAATGCATTCTTCAAGAAATTTTGAAGAAAATGGTTTTTTTTTTTTTTCGAACATTTGTCTCAATCTTTATGTCCAAAGGTTTGGGAAAAATTATAGCATTCTTTTCGATAATGTGGTTATGATGGTTTGGTAAAAAACATGAGATTCATGCTTATCACTATTTAGAGCGTAGGACTAGACTTGAGTCTACTCTTATTTTCTGGGAAAACATACAAATATCCAATGATAACACTGAGATCTTCTTTTTGGGCACAAGAGGAGGGTTTTCTCAAAGTTGCTCCTTTTCCTTTATCTTTTCTTACAATAAAAAAAAAAGGGAATGTATTTTTAATTGAAATGCATGGAAAAGCTCGTCTAAAATGAATATGGAAAAAGATGGATACGTTAAAGACTTTAGAAAGACCTACTGACTTGAAAAAATTATAAGTATGAAGAAAAACATTATCTTTTTCATCTATAATTCAAAAATTTTCCTCTCACAACTTCCAGTTTAAAATTGTAATAATGGGAAACACTCGCTTCATTCCGATTCTTATGGTGGCGGTTCTGTTGTTTAGTTTTATGATTTCATTCTCTACTAAAGCAACAACCAATATCAACACTGACCAGTTGGCTCTTCTTGCACTAAAAGCCCGAGTCAATAGTGATCCTCAAAACCTCCTTACAACCAATTGGTCAACTGTTAGTTCTGTTTGCAATTGGATTGGTGTCACTTGCGGTTCTAGGCACAGAAGGGTCACGGCTGTGAATCTTATTGGCATGAATCTCTCCGGTACCATACCACCACACCTGGGAAATCTGTCGTTTCTTGCTGTGCTCCGCATTGAAAACAACAGTTTTCATGGCTCATTGCCTATCGAAATGGCTAATTTGCGTCGGCTGAAATTTTTAATTTTGGAAAACAACAATTTCAACGGGGAAATCCCTTCCTGGTTTGCTTCCTTCATAGAACTTCTGAGCTTGTCTTTGAGTGGTAACAACTTCATGGGAGTTATCCCATCTTCTTTGTGTTCTTTGTTAAAACTAGAGCTCTTGAGCTTGTATGAAAACAATCTATATGGACAGATTCCTGTGGCAATCGGAAATCTTTCTAGCCTGAGATGGTTATATTTGAGTAAGAATCAGTTTTCAGGCTTCATACCTTCCTCGGTCTTCAACATATCTTCATTGGTACAGATTGATCTCAGTTGCAACCAGCTAATTGGTTCAATACCCTCCATCCAACTCAACATTTCTTCTTTAGAAGCAATTGATTTAACATTTAACAATCTCACTGGTCATATCCCACCAAATATGTTTGATTATCTACCCAAACTAAAAGGGCTTTATTTGGGTGCAAACCAGCTTTCTGGCAGAATACCAATTGGTTTATTCAAGTGCCAAAAATTGGAAGAATTGTCCTTATCTCATAACTATTTAGAGGGGATTATACCTGGAGAAATCGGAAATTTGACTATGCTTAGGGAGTTGTATCTTGGCTTCAACAACCTCAAAGGTAAAAGGAAAATTATTGTTGAGTTTATTTCTTTTTGAACAATGACAATGTCACTTTTTGGCAAATCTCAAATGTTTCTTTAATTTCATTTTACCTATCTCTTTTTAATTTAGTCATTTTACCCTTAATTTAACTTTAATTTCTTTAGCATCTTCTTTTTATGTAAAGTATATGATTTTATGTTCGTCGAGACTGGTTTTTCACTACCAAATTTGCTAGAATATAAATTAGGAAACCACTTAACTTAACACCATACCTTATTCAATTTGTAGCTAAATAAAATAATGAAAATTATATTAAAAAATTCTAGTTGCTTTACTGTTATGCTTCACATCCTTTTTGCTGCAAGCAAATAATATTCTGGCTTTTGAGATTCTTTCTTTCTTTTTTTTTATTTTCATTTTCATTTTTATTTTTTGTGATTAGTGTCACGTTCTTTTTTTACTTTCCTTGTTTTTTTTTTTAATTTAAATTCGACTCACTTCTTTTTTACTTTTAGATTTTCTCATTTGATCCGAAACTTTTACTTTAATAATCATGCATGTAATTTTCATTGACTAATCATTCACCAATTAATTATTACCACCTTGTATGTACTATTAATATTATTTTTTTCATTTTAATATATTTTATTCATATTAAACATAAGAAATAAATTATTTGTGGGGAAATTAATGCTTTGTATTACTTAAAAATTGTTTAATTCTTTCGTGATTAACAAAGAAATAAGACGTATTCATGTATAAGAAAACGAAATTTGCCAATAATTTTAACATGAAATAAAATTTCATTATAAATGCAGGTAAAATTCCACCACAGATTGGTAATCTTCTGAGTTTGGAGATGTTAACTCTTGCACATTGTTACCTAATAGGGGCTGTTCCTTCTGTCATTGGCAACCTAACATTTCTGAGAGCTCTCAGTTTTGCCTCCAATAACTTGACCGGTAATATATCACATTATTTCCATTTGTGTTATAACTTCATCTTTTTAATATTTGAATATTAATGTTTTTATTATTAGTGAATATTAATATTATTATAATTAGACTCTCTTATTGTAGTTGTAGTTACATAACCTTCTTTATTTTTCATAGAATTGTAAGATTGATGAAATGAATGGGAAATAGGAATGGTTGAATCCAGAGAATAAGCAAGAAATAGATTTAAATGGTGCATAGAGATGTCTATGGCTTTTGAATTAGGCAAAACCTTTTTGTAAAATCTAAACCCAGCTAGTATAAAATCATTAATTTAATTTAAAGTAGACAACTATTCCAAGCCATATCATTTTTTATTTTGTTTATTTTTTTAATTTAATAAAGTCTAACCGTTTTCATCGTCGATTAGTATGTTAGATTTCAAAATCATTTTATTTTGTTGAAGTTAGTTATTTGACTGATTATGTTACCGACACTAATTATTAAGAATGATATAAAATTAACAATACCAAGAGATACGTGCAAATAACATTTTCATTTGTTTTTGTCATTTACTGTGTGGATCAATATAGGACAATGGAATTACCCTCTGATTTTTGTGGCAGGTAATATACCACTACAATTTGGCAACCTTCCAAAATTGGAAGAATTGTATTTGTCATTTAATAGTATCTCTGGAATCATCCCTCCTCGCATTTTTAATAGCTCAACTGTGAGATTCATTGTTCTACCAGCAAACCAGCTCTCAGGCTATCTTCCATCAAACACAGGTCTTTGGCTTCCGAAGCTTGAAATCCTTGAACTTGCAAAAAATGAATTAAGTGGATTGATACCTGCCTCCATTTCCAATGCCTCTCGGCTTACTATTCTTGACATTGACGGCAACTCGTTTTCTGGATATATTCCTATTGACCTTGGCAATTTAAGAGATCTACAAATTCTCGCGGTAGGTCAGAATAATTTGGCTAGCACTCCTTCGTCCTCAGAGTTGAGCTTTTTATCTTCATTGGCAAATTGCAAACACTTGAGAGTATTGGAGTTTGCCATCAATCCTATGATCAGTGGTAAACTTCCGGTTTCTATAGGAAATCTCTCTGTTGAACAATTTCTAGCTTATGGTTGCAACATTAAAGGCAGTATTCCAGGAGAAATTGGCAATGTAAGCAACTTGATTTGGTTGGACCTAGATAACAATAAACTGGGTGGATCTCTTCCCACCACAATTGGAAGATTAAAAAATTTGCAACGTCTATCTCTTCAAGGCAACAATTTAGAAGGATTCTTCCCAGCTGAGTTATGCAATTTAAAGAGTTTGAGTTACCTGTATTTTACCGGTAACAAATTGGTTGGACCAATACCAGCATGTTTAGGTGATCTTGTTTCTCTTAGATATCTATTTTTGGGCTCCAACAAGTTTGCCAACTCAATACCCTCAACCTTGACAAGGCTTACAGATATCTTACAGCTAAACTTGTCTTCCAATTGTTTAAGCGGGCCCCTCCCAGTTGACATTGGAAAGTGGAAGGTTATCACTAGCATTGATTTTTCCAAAAATCAATTATCAGGTGAAATATCAATGAGCATTGGTGATCTTACAGACTTGACCTATCTCTCATTATCTGGTAACAGATTGCAAGGACCTATACCTGAGTCATTTGGGGGTCTAATAAGTTTACAAGTCCTGGATTTGTCAAGGAACAATTTCTCAGGAATCATCCCCAAGTCTTTAGAGAAGCTCTTGTATCTTGAACATTTTAATGTCTCATTCAATAGATTACAAGGAGAAATTCCTAACAAAGGATCCTTTACCAACTTCTCCATTCAATCTTTCATGGGAAATAAAGCGCTATGTGCCGTACCTCAACTGCAACTCCCACTCCCACCATGCAAGGCTAATTCTTTTGGAAAGCATTCGAGGAAAGCTATTCAACTTGTTGAATACATTTTATTTCCAATTGGCTCAATAATATTAGTACTTGCAGTGATTCTCACTTTTTCACGAAGAGGAAAAAGGAATGCAAATCTGCCAACTGCTCAAGAAAATTTCCCAGCATTAGCAGAATGGAGAAGAGTTTCATACCAAGAGCTTCAACAGGCTACATATGGATTTTCTGAAAGCAAATTACTTGGTGTGGGGTGTTTTGGATCAGTATACCAAGGAATTCTTTCAGATGGGTTAAGCGTTGCAGTAAAGGTTTTCAATTTGGAGTTAGAAGGAGCATTTAAGAGCTTTGGCGTTGAGTGCGAGGTCCTCCGTAACATTCGCCATCGAAATTTAGTCAAAATCATCAGTAGCTGTTCTAACGTTGATTTTAAAGCCTTGGTTCTTGAGTTCATGCCTGGTGGAAGTCTAGAGAAGTGTTTGTACTCTCATAACCATTTTTTGGATATCTTGCAGAGGTTGAACATAATGATCGATGTGGCATCTGCATTAGAATACCTTCATCATGGTTATACAACACCTGTGATCCATTGCGATTTAAAACCCAACAACATTCTTCTTGATGAAGATATGGTTGCACATTTGGGTGATTTTGGCATTGCAAAGCTATTAGGTGAACACGATTCAACAATACACACCATGACACTAGCAACGATTGGGTATATGTCACCAGGTAATAGAAAATTTAAAACTCTTTTATCCTATTATGATGACTAACGTAACATCATTGTATGCTTTGATGATGATTTTGACAATTTACATGTAGAATACGGATCAAAAGGAATTGTTTCAACAAAAGGTGATGTGTACAGCTTTGGTATTCTTTTGATGGAGACCTTCACAAGAAAGAAACCCACAGATGAAATTTTTGCTGGGGAAATGAGCATAAAATATTGGGTGAAACAGTCATTACCATCAGCATTAATGGAAGTTGTCGATACCAATTTGTTAAATAATAGAGAAAGACAATACTCTGCCACAAGGGATTGTGCTTTATCTATTTTGCAATTAGCATTGGAATGTTCAGAAGAAGTTCCAGAAGAGAGGATTGACATGAAAGAAGTTGTTGCTAAGCTGAAGAAGATTAAAATCAAGTTTTTACATGAGTCAAATAGGCGGGCCTAATGAGGAGAACTTTCATGTAGCTGGCTTTTCTATTTGACTCCTTTGAGCTTATGGGTTTGTCTTTCTTGATTTCCTTTAAGCTTAGCAAATCCATAGTTTCAGCCCAATTCATTCGTATTTGAGTGCTTGCCTTAATAAATTAACTGTGTTTGTGGGCTTTTGTTCTAATGTGTGGTCTTGAACATTACATGAATTGCTGAATTGCTATAAAGTTCTATGTTGTATTTGATGTTTATTTGTTTTGGTTGATTTAAGTTTCCGCAAAATGTTTTAAACAAAAAAGTTTTTTTCCTTGTACAGATTGTTTAGAATTGGAAATCATTATTCTAAACTTAAAGATTTGATTTCTTTTGGAGAGGAGTCTGTCTTTCTCATCTCTTCAAGAAATAAAAAACAGAGTTCCTCAAAATAGTGGGAAACCAATTATCAAAGTATTCTTTAGGTTTGAGATCAGTCAAAAAATCGTATTGAAAAAACTTTGTCTATCTACAAAGAATTTTTTTCCCTTTTTTAACCTTTAATTAGAAACAATCGATTAGTGCAACGTGAATTGTGAACTTTCTATTACGCAAGTAATTAAGGATGTTAAAAACGAATTGCATTGTCTAACAACAATCTAACTCACTTACCTTTTTCTTCTATCAAAATAAGGTAAAATTAAATGCTCAATCTTTGGAGGCAAAGCTTTGAATAGGTGATCCAAAATGATACCTTTATTTTGATTTTATTGAGATGTTATAATGTGAAAAATATGAAAATATAGTTGGAGCCTTAGAGTTGCAAGGTCTTCAGTTTTGGCCATGTCAAGTGACAAATTGGAATGCCCCTTATTTTGGGTCTTTAATCATTTTATGGTTAATTCCATATCGTGAGTTATTGGACCGTAATTTGATCACTTGTGAAATTGATATAGAAAAGCAATTGAAAGTCATTATATTTTTCCTAAATTTTCAAATTAGAAAGTGGGAATCCCAATCCCACGTTAGAAGAGAAGATTTCACATTTCACATTAGAAAGGGTTTTTCTGCAAAGATGGAACTTGACTGAATGCATGAGAGTGGACTGAGGTGTCTACAATTTCACATTTGATTTTTTTTTTTTTTCAAATATGCTAACTTTTCATTTTTTTTAAAGAAACATTAAACCCGTCACAAAACAAGTGTAAAATTATCAATGATCATAATATTTATGAGAACAAACAAGAAATTAAGTAAAGTTAAAAAGCCATTTACTTTTTGTATAATGTTGATGAACAATTTCTTTTGTATTTTCATTTTATTTATTTAATGATGAACAATTTCTTTTCTAGACTTCTATTCATTGTCAACGTCGCATAATCTTCCAATTTTGCAAAGTGGCCAATCTGGTTCAAAATACCATTGATATTCATTCATCATCCCCTCTTTCACTCACCCTTGTCCTTTCTTGCTCTTTTTAGTTGACCATAAACTCAAGCTGTCTGTCATTAACAAACACACCACACTACGTTTATATCTCAGCCTTTTTCTTTTTGAAACTCTTATAGTTTAGTAATATAAATATAAATTAATTAAACACCACTGTTCTTGTTTTTTTTTTTTCTTTTTGTGGTCTTCAAAATATCTTTAAATCCAATATCTTAATATAATCACTCTTATATATATAAACAAGGAAAAATGAAATAGAGGGACAAACGGCCTTAGAGCATTGCCACGTTGGGTGGGACAAGGAGAAGGGTCATTGAGTATTTTTTCCAATTTAAATTTATTTATATAATAGATTACAATATTTATTCTATTAAATTATGCGAGTTTAGATAATATGAGATTTACATAACCGGTGATTTAAATTAACAGTTTTAGGTGAATCAAATACCTATCATTTAAAAGTGTTAATCAAATTTGACTCGATCCAATTTAATTCATAAACACTTCTAATATTTTTATGATAATTATCAAAATTATCATTACTCAAACTTGCATATGTGGGTTTGTAATAGATTCCTCAATAGCTTTTTGCTGTATCATATGCAATATATAATATACATTTTTTTTTGTTTTGTCAATAATTGATTGATTTCTATAACCACGAAGTGCCCTACTAGAAACAATTGAATTGACAAGAGTGCAATGCAACTTATTAAACTTCTTTTTTGGGTTAGATGGTAAAATTTGATCATGTATGTCTTGAGTCAGTCAACCACATTTCCAAACTACAAGTTGTGAATAATACAGGAAATTAATGCTGTCTTTGGCATGAAAAGGACAATTGACAGCCGAACAAAAAGGTTTTTTTTTTTTTTTTCTAACTTTTTTAATTGGAAAATGAGTAAAGTCGTTGGTCAATATTTGTTTCTTAGGGCCACTGCAATAAGTTTGCCGTGCATTGACATAGGCTATTACATGGAAATTATCTTAATGATCCTATTCTGTTCCGATGTTATTTTTGTACTCAAGACTAAAATTTTTTACGTGTCAAAACCTGTTGCTTTTATCATCCTTGTTTATTTTAATACCAAAGGGCATATCCCAACAAACAAAAGTAGGATTTTAATTCGAGGTTTTAGATTTGAATCTTGAGATGAATAAAAGGTGAGACTTATGAATAAGAAGAGATTATCTCTTATTGTACTTTAGACGTAAAAAGAAAAGTTTAAATTGATACTTGAGCTAAGTTCATCCATTAAAATTCATTCGCAATCCACTATTTTTTTTAAAATGTCATTTTTGTTCATAATCTAAAACTTTGACATTTATCAATTATCACCCACTATTAAAAAAAATCATCATCCAAAAAGCTAGTAGAAATGTTCATACAAGTATCACATATCACTTTATTTGGCTTGATGCAAACATCTGATATAGTTTGTTTATATTAACATATTTCGTTTATTTGTCATAATGTTTAAATTTGAGAATCTACTCATTAGATACAAAAAATATGAAGTTATCATCAATTTTTTTTCTACTTAGGTGTGATTGGCCATTTAAATGAATCTATCATTTTTAAGATTATGATAAGCTTAGACTAAGAAATCTAAAAAGAATAGATTATAGTCTACCTTAACCGAACTAAATCCAAAAGTCAATTATGTATAAAGAAGGTTTTATCACTCCACAACATCCAAAATTGATACACAATTAATCACATATTTCACTAAAAATATATATTTTTTACTCTCCCCAAGAGTTTTTAAAATAAATTTGTTGTTCACTTGAAGAGGTTTCACTATTAGATTCATTAAATACCTAACAAAAAATTAAATTCTAATTCCTTTTGTTTATTTACAGAATAATGTCTTACAAAAGTATTACCAAAATATCATAGAAAAATCATAAATATCATGCAATAATATCATAATTAAATCATGCAAAAAAAAATCATAATAAACTACATAAATAAATAAAATTTATGCGAAATATCATGCAAATAAATAAACTATAAGTTTAAAAATTCATGTCAAAGTTTTTCTTTCTTTTTCTTGTTTTTAAATAAAATAAAATAAATAAATAAACAAAAAAATCAAAATAAATAGAAAATCAAAATCAAAATAAAAAATTGAAAATTGAAAATTGAAAATTGAAAATAAATTAACCAAACCAATTAACAAATATCACTTCTATTCAAATTACAACGTAATTACATTATTGAAAAAGTCAATTATTTATAATTAAATTCATCAATTAATAAGCATATTGAAATAAATATGTCACGTAATTACAAGTCTCAATTAAAAAGTTTTTTTTTTTTTTTGTGATTTGTATGAACAATTACAAAAAAACTAGAATAATTACAAAAAATAATTAATTGTAATTTTCCTTTGTAAAAGATGTAGAATAGTCAATTAGTATTAGATAGAAAATTTTTTTGCTAATTTGATGAAACGTTATATATAATGTCCTCTCTCATTCTCTCTCTCCATATATATATATATATATATATATACATATATATAAATTTAACACCCTAATCACACATCAAGAGACTTTGAGGATATGCAGTGATATATAAGTAGAGGCTTAAACTCAAATCTATGAGGTATCTTTTGTGAAACAAATGTTAAAAAAAATAAATAAGAAAAGATAAATAATAGAAAAGAACTTTGGTTTTGAAGCATGAAGAACACTTTCTTAAAGGAAATTATGCTTTTAGGATACAACAAAACCTCAAACTCTCCAATCAGAAGCAATGAAAATGGTTATACTTAAAAGATTTATTTATAATGAATGAACAGATATAAATTTCTATTTAGATAGTTATGACCTGTATAATTATGACCTTTATAAATAATAATCTATTTATATTCAAATAATTATGACCATTTATCATATGATAATTGTTTCTATTCAAACATAATTATTTAAAATATGAAAAAATTAATACAAAATTAATTTTATTCATCAATAATTAAATCTTTCTATCCAATGTGGGATGCACTACATTCTAAACTACCAATAATCCCCCACTAGTTTGGAATATTGGTGCTTAATTTTTACCTTTCACATGATAAATATTATGAATACAAAAAGATATCTCTCAATTTAAACCTTCAATTAGCGTATATATCTTAGAATTCTAACGAAGTTGATAGTGTCCGCAGATTAAACCTTAACTCCTAGTGTTATAATTGAAGATATAACATATACAATACTTATTTATTCTTCTGTCAAAGGTTTATAACTGCTTTTAGCATATTATGGCCATGTGCTTATCCTATTCATAAATGTTTACAAGAGAGACCCTAATTTTTTTTGTTGACGCGGCACCACTTCTATGTTTATATAGGTAGAGTTTTCATTATGTCTTCATTGCTTTAGACATTTAAAACTCTATTAAAAGTATAAAAACTCATTCTCCCCATGTAATAGATACACTAGTTTTTAAAATTTGAATGGATTTTACTAGTGTTTGACAGACATATAACAATAGCTTGTTTTTACCCATTAAACTTTGTAATTAGAGGTTACTAATTCAAAGTTGGGTTTCCATTATCGGTGTCTAATAGTAAGAGTTTAAATTCATTCTACTTGCAGTACTA